TCCTGTGTGTAGCTTTGCCATTAAAAGGTAAAAAACAGCATTTACAATAGCTTTCTGACTTGGCTGTTTACTAACATTTGCCCTTCAAAGTCACTTGTTATGTGCCATAATATTACTATGCAGATATTTATAAAATACAGCCTTGATTTCAAGATATTACCCTGATTCAAAACCTCTGTTGAATCACCATTCCTGATCAGTTCTTCTGAATTCTGGAGCCAGATGTACAGATTCTTTTCATCTAAATCCATCTGCACCTGCATTTGAAGGACTCTGTTCCAGCTGTACAAAGCAGCAAAGTGACAGGCAGCCTCTGAACTTGCCAGGTGCTGCCAATCCTCCATGACTCTGCTCTTCCTGGGCCCACTTGTAATACTCATGACCACCTCTCTACTGAACCCCTACTCATCCTCTAGTATTTGGCTCAAATGTCTGTCTTTGTAAAACCCTCTAGCCAAGATTAATAGATCCTCTTCTCTGTATCCCTGAGCCTTTGACTCAGATAAATATAGAACTCATCACAAAAAACCTTGATTTGCTATGTACAGGCCTTTCTTCCCCAGTGCATGAAATCTTTGAAGAGCAAGACCACACTGTGTTTATCCTTATAACCTCAGTGGTTAACATGGAGTCTATTAGACATTTAACATTCAATGTTCCTTTTATCAGTGAATGAATCATTCTTTCTTAGAATGACCAGTCTGAGTGCTGAAAGAAAGATCTGTCCACATCACTGTCCTTACGGTCCTTGAAAGGACACTGCTTGCTAGTACTCACAGGAAAGACTCTAAGAGAACATTAGTTTCCTCATTTTTTTGATCCTCCTGTTCTAAGGTTGCTCAATTCTCAGGAAATTGTTTCAACCTACCCATCTTCTGGGACTACTTTCTGTTTTATATTAAATGATCATTTTATAGTTTATCATCTTTCTTTCTTGTGGAAAATCTTTGAGTTATCATTCTTTTCTCATTTCTCTTTTAATTGTGCAATCAACTGTCCAAGAATTAATGATGACAAATGGGCAATCTCATTTGGCGTAATTGAATTTAATCTCTCCCCCTATAGTCTTGGATATCTGAAGGCATGAAAGAAATACAGAAGGAAAACAAATAGGAGCATAGGAATTATGGGACAAGATTTATACATGGTACACTTAGGAGGAAGGGCCATAGGGAGACTGTCAGAGAATAGTACTAAGAGAAATAACCACTATCACATCAAACCAAGAAGCTGCTAACAACAAACATAGGCTAGCACAGTTCTTACTTTGTCCTTAGGGATGAGAATCTTGTTTCATCCACCTACAGTGGAGGAAATGAGTTGCTTAATCCAACCTCATTCTTTTTCTTTTTTTGAGGTAAGGGAGATCCAACTACAAGGACTTGCATGTACTAGGCAAGTTCTCTACCACAGAGCCCCAATTTCATTCTCAGTGATGGCCTGAAGGTCTCTGTTGCATCAAAAATCTATGATGAAATCCTAATCTCTCCCAAAGTGACAGATTTAAGAGATGAGGGTCTGGACTTGGCCGTGTGATCAGATCACAAGATGATGCCTGCGTGAATGGAATTAGTGCCTTAGAAAGAGGCACAAGAGAAACTCTTCACTCTTTCAACATGTGAGGGCAAAGAGGGTACCGTCTACCAACAGAAAACATGGCCCTTGCCAGACCTTGAATCTGCCAGTTCCTTGACCTCTGCAAACTTTCAGAATGGGGAGCTACAAGTTTCTGTTGCTTATAAGTCTAAAAATATTTTGTCTAAAATATTTTGTTACAACACCCGAAATGCATGAATTCACTTAGTAACAGAACTCTGAGTTAATTTAAACAGCAATGTGCCGAACGAACAGAAACATTGCCAGCTTCCCAGGGAGTGTAGAGGCTGTGATAGGTATGGTCAATATGATGTATGTGGAAGTGACACGCAGGATTTCAGCAAATCTATTTGCTGCAAGAAGGTATAACTTTCTCCCACTCTTCTCCCATGCTGCTGAGTAGAATGCAGATGTGATGACTAGTTTCAAGCAACCTCTTGAGACTGTGAGACAAAGCCCACGTCTCCAACATTAAGGCCAGCAGCACCCATGGAGCCACAGCTGTGGAAGCCCACAGTACTTCCTACCTCTATACATGGAGGGTGAGAAAAGCATTCTCTATTCTGTCTAAGCCACAGGTATTTTGAGTTTTCTGAACTTACTCTTAACAGACTCTTAGCTTCATGGGGTTTAAGAACACTTGGCACAATGTAAAAATTTAATAAGAAGATAAATATAACTAATTCTGTGCTATTATTGTATTTATGAACAATAAAGTTGCAAGGAAATAGTATTTCAAATTCACCAGGAAAACGACCTCAAAGTAAAATTATAAAACGCGCATATGAACGTGGAGACCGAAAAAGGACATCCTTGAGGCTACCAAGGTTGACTGCACACAGTTTTACACACATTCTGACTTTTACTTCTTTTCTTTTTTGAAATGTTTTATTTGATTCTGATTAGGATGACCTGTACTGACGTACATAAAGAATCTAGCAGAGTCATCGATTCTTAGTGAGTCCAAGTAGAACACTTTTACGCTAAATATTGCATGCTTTAAGTACTGGCATTTGGGAAATGAGCATAATAAGACTTTATCCTGTAAAGTTTGAGTTTCAGTAGGTTCAGTAGGTGATATAATTGTAATACTTTGTAGTCAGTAAATCTCAATATTCTATGCAAATACTCCTAATTCTCTAAATTCTTAATTCCTAATTTTCTAAATTCTTGCTTAAGTGGTGAGTTGCTAAAGGTCAGGGATCATGTTTTCTTTTGTTCATTCAGTAAAAGGCACTGGAACATAGCCAAGATAACGAAGCAATATTATTTTCTTTTCTTCTATTACATTTATATCTAGAGCTATGAGTCATTGACTTGTATGTTAGGTGTGGAAGCCAGACTGCTCTACAGAGAAAGACCTAGTCTCAAAATAAAAAAAAAGACATTTTATAATAAAAGCAATAATGCATTGACTTATCTGTATTGATTTTTAAGGAGGGAATTCTATGTGGTTTTTAAGCTTTGGTTTCACATGCCTAAACCATTAATAGCTACACTTAAATTTTTTGGCCTTTAGTAAAATGAAAATGTTAATATATTAGCTTTAAAGTTACTTCCAAAATGAAAAATCTATGGATTTATGTATACATTTGCTTCAGAGTATACACTTTTCCAATCTTATTTCTGCGTCTTCAAAAGTGTTAAATGAATTAATTATGTATTACTTCTCTGTCTAGTTTTAAGGCAGAGGGCTGACGACAAATATAGATGCCATAGAAGAAAACATCCAATAATTTCAAATGCCACCTACTTCCTGTTTCTGTGTGCACATAGCACAGTGTCTGTTTCTTTTTTTTTTCTTTTTAACATTTTATTAGCTTGTTTTTTATTTATTTTCAGACAGGGTCTCCCTATACTCCTGGCTGTCCTGGAGCTCACTATGCAGACCAAGCTGGCCTTGATCTCACAGAGATCCCCCTGCCTCGGCTCCTGAATGCTGGGACTAAAGGTGTGTGCCACAGTGCCTGGTTCAGCACAGTATTCTTTAGGCACCATCATTTAGGGGATCGTAAGTCTGCTCCTCGAGAAGTTGGGAGCCCCTGCAGTGGGGTTGGTGCAGGAAACGTATCACCCTGAGGCAAGGCAGAAGCCTGATATACAGTAGGTGATTAATAAGTGCCTGCTATAGAGATGAGTGGAAGGAGCTCTGTATGAAAGATTCTGATCCTACTAGGAAAGATGAAATCCTAATCTCATTTTTTGATTCATCTTTCAACTGATGGCTTGACATTTCATTTCTCTTCTTCCCAGAGTCAAGATTTTGGCTGATTTGCTGTGCATTTGTTAACCATCAATTTTAGGAATAGCTGGTAATTTTTGTGTTTTGTTGTTTGGCTTTTAGGTTATTACTGTTTTAATTTAGCTATAAAAAGGAGGGGGAAGGTTTCTTGCTAGTATGAACCAAAAGCTTTTGTTCTGCCAATGGACTGAGAACTCTACACAGGGTGCCTCCAGCTCATCCTGGAGATGAGGCACAAGGATGGAGGGACCTTAGCACAGTCCACCACAAGGGTACTGGAGGACTCTTGCTGGGAAACTGACTTAAAGCCCTAGCCTTAATGGACTAGACAGTGCCACGAATGACCTAATAAACGTATATCAGTGGTCTTCAAAGGATTGTCTTTTGTCTTTTTCAGTTCAAGCTCCCTATAAGAAATATTATACCATCCTGACAGTAGGGTCAGTACCCCTCCCCAAGTCCTGGTCCCTGCTAGGAGGAAGACGTCACTTAGCCTGTCTATTGGAATCCAGAGCTAAATCTACACATACACATTCCTTAGTCTTCTTTTTCCCATCTATAAACTATAACTGCTATGGGGGAATTCAAAAGCAGACTAGGAAGGAATGTTTTTCCCAGTTCTGGGTGAAACTGGAAATAAATCCATATTTTGTGTATTATGTTTTACATCATTTTCTCCTGGTATGGATGAACCGGCCAGACTTAGGACCAGGCTAGTTTGACTGTGGCTTCTGGTATCTTTAATAGCTGCCCCATTCTCATTGTTCTGTATACAATCAGAATTAATGCATCCACTCTCCTTGCACACGCTCCCAAGGAAAAACCAATAAAGAAAGTGACAAAGGGCTCTTGGCTCTCATTGTAGCCACATTCTGCCATTCCCCTCTCCACTCCCTGGTAGCTGACTTTCCACTCCTGCCTGGCTCTGAGGGTAGTTCTTGCAACAGATGTTCTAACACTGGTGTCCTAAATCTCACATCATTGAACTCTGCAGGAAAGACAAGAGGTAATCCAGGTATCATTTATATATGCCTTAGTCATGGTGAGCCACACCACATTTTAAACACCTATAAATAGAGACAGTAGGAATTAAAAATAAAATCAGGTCATTAGGTAAAAATAGATTTCAATAAAGGCAAAGTGTCAGTAGTAAAGAGCATACCGCAGTACCCTGGGGTCCCACACACTGTCTTCATGAGCACTTGATGTTCCACAATTTTAGAGAGTCCAAAGTCAGCTATAAGAATAGAAAAGAATTTAGTGTACCAAGACTTTTCCAGTATTATAAGCACTTCTTGCCTTTTAAAAACAGATCTAATGCATTTACTTGTTTGCTTTTGATCTGATAGTGGGGTGGGTGTGAATGGAACAAGTCACGATAGAGGAAGCTAGAAATGTTAATTCATGTGTTTCTTTGAGTCCTAAATACATTTATAAACAAATGTGTAAACGTTGCTTTTGTATATATGTCAAAGATATTAACAAATAAGGTATTTTTTTCTTAAAGTAATCATGGTAATCGTGCTGTTTTGTCTGGTGTTCTTATTTCTGAGATTTATGTGACAATAGCTCTAAGAGAAGGTTTAGCCTTAGTGATATAATTCAAAACCTTTAATTCACTGGTGAAATAAAGAGCAGACTTTCATAGATGTCATGGAATAAACAGGAATATCAAAAGGCTCATTCTGATTGAAAATAAGTAATACCACCCTCTTTAGAATATTTGACAGACACCTATTCACTCACATAATGAATATGAAACCTTTGGGGAGGGGGAGCAAAAATTCTTTTTATTTACTCCTCCATATATTACCTAGGTAAAATATTACCCAAATTGCTACCATTGTGATCTGTTTCCTGGGCTATCTCTTCATCAAGAGCATCAAGGAAACTGCTCCAGGCTATTCTTCAAGGGAGGCAGGAGCAGAAAGGATATCATTTTAGACTTCAAAGATAAACCCATATTTCCATGGAGGGGTCTGCTCATATCACTGAACGCAGCAGGCAGCCCTTCAGAAAGAAAGGCTCTCCTGCCCAAATTAGAATCTCTCCATCCATTTAAAGAGATTTCCTTAAGGATCAAATCTTTGAGTGATGTCAAAGGAAATGGAACTCCCTGCTATCCACTCCTTTCAGGAGTGATTACAAGAAAAAGCTGGCTGCCCAACAGGATTTTCAAAATTTGTTCTTTAGATTCTTGCTCTTATAATGCACATTCTGCTGCCTCAACACTTTCCTGGAAGAACAACTTAATTTTCACTGGTGTTAACACTTATAAATGTACATCAGTCAACTTAGTTATAAAGGAGAGCCAAGTGAAGGGCCACGCCCTCCAGTGGCTGCCAGCACAGATTCTGCTGAGGATGCTTCATCTCTAATAATTTAACTGTAAAAAATTGTAAGGAATATAAAATTTAATGAATTTTCTCCTAAAATGAATGCTGAGTTAAGTGTTTCTTTGGGTAGATGAGCATTTCCTAGTTTATCTTTGTAGTTCTTCAGAATGTTTATTTGGGGGAAAAGGAGGTTTCTAGAGTCAGCGAAGTTTGAGGAAGCTTACAAGTCTACAAAGTTTTTTTAGGAAGTAATGTAGAAGTAACCAGAACACCTCTGTAAACATGTGACTTCCACAAATACCCAGGGAAGTTTTTCACCCTATGAGGGCACAACATCCAGTGAAGGACATTTTTGGGAACAGACCTGAATTTATCTCTGCTTATATAGAAAAGGATCAGAGCCTACATCCACTAGCTTGTACTAAGTATTTTATTCCAGAGTTTTTCATTATATGAAATTAAGCTCCAAATAGTTACAGATTAAATGTTTATAACCGAAGAAAGAATCATATCTTCACTATAAACTTATTTACAAACCACAAGGTTATCTCCAGACAGCCTCATTATTGCTGAGAGCTGGAACTGTGACTCATCTGCATGTCCAGCAATGGTGCATGGAGAATTAGTGCTAAGAGCCAGGTTAATGTTTCAGGAAGAGCACAAAGTTCTAAACAATGAATCATTCCTCACAGATTCTGAGTATTTGAGAAAACTGGACAGAGGCAGTAATGGATGGAATAAAAAAAAATTCCATAGAACAAATTTCTTCCGCTCTGGGAAAATGGGTTATAAAACATCAGAAAAATGTTCTCACCAATTTTGAGTGGTGCATCTGGGGCCGGAGTTGCATAGAGAAGGTTCTCAGGTTTGAGATCTCGATGGACAATCCCATTTTCATGCAGGTACTACATAGGGAAAAGAATGAAGCACATTTGTGTAATTTTAGTGATGGTTATAACATTCATATTTCATGTTTTAAGACCTACCATAAGCTTATGGCTCAGTAATACATATATTATGGTTTAAAAAATAAGTATCAGAAAGGAAACAATGCTGTAAACAATACAGAATAGCTTATGAGGATCGGGAGTTCAGTTTAGTGGTACAGAACTTGTCTGGCAAGAGGGAGGACCTCAGCTAACTCGGTTGTTCAAATCAGAGACTGATTCTCTCTTTTCACACCTGTCTCCATCAAATTCACAACTGAGTTTTGACCATTTTAATCCCAAAATGCTTCCCAAATGTCCCCATTTCTTCGTGTCATAGCCCTGATCTCAGCCGGATCACAATAGCAGTCCATTAAACACTCTTTGATGTTTGAAATGCTCCATTTATTCTCCGTGGGAAACTCCTCATTTCTCCAAGGCCATGGCAGCCTGGCTCCTGGTTCCTGTCCAGTCTCTTATTCTTCCACTTCCCCTCTCTTGCTCCCTTGTCCTACCTAGACTGCCTTTCAGCTCCTCACAAGCCCTAGTTTCTTTCCCACCACTGGCTGCTCTTGGTGCCTGGAATGCCTCTTCCTCTCCTTTGCCTGCCCAGCTCTCCTCATCCTTCCTCAAGGAGGCTATCTAGCCTTCCAAGGGGACACAAGTGCCCCTCTCCTCTCCTGTCCTCTCAGGGCCACTGTCCATTTCTCTTCACAGGACGCACTTTTCTCTGTAGGCCCAAAATCCCACGAAAATAAGGAAATCTCCCAGATACTTTGTTTCCCTCTAATCATAAGTTAACTCTAAGTGTACACTCAATAAACGTTTTTGAAAGATTTAGAAATAATTAAACTTTCCTACAGATGTTCATGCTGCTTTACTTTGTAGTTAATTTGTAAGTGATCAAAGAATGATGGCAATTTGAACTTTTTATTTATTTTCCATTAATCATTTACAATAGAGGCTACAGTTGCATGGGCTTGGCTATACCTTAGATTGTGATACTATATTTCTATAGTAAAATCACCTTCATGTATTTACCAAATGTAAGACGTTTAGCCTCTGCATACGTATACAGCATGCATTTTGGTTGGATACTAACACTTCGTTACTTCACATGTATTCACCGAGGACTAGATAGATGAATGAGATTTACATTATCATTTTGAGAAGAGCAAAAAACACAAGATTAAGAGGAAGACTCTCATCTTTAAGATCAAATTTTGGACAATTGTCTTAACTAGTTTTCATGCTGTACTGTCATGAAGTAGGTAATTGTGGTTGAGTTAATGTCTTTACATCTTTTTTGTTGACTAGAACATGAGTGAGCAGTGAACATGCTCAGAGCTCTGTGCTTGTGAATGAAACTTCCCCATCAGGCTACAGCAGTGAGATCAAGATGGCTGAGCCTGCAGCTAACCCAGGAGATGATGTTTATTTGTTTGCACTGTATAGGACTTGGGTATGGCCTTGAAGTGTCAGGTCAAAGTAAACCTCTGAGAAGATGCTTAATGGGGTAGCAACGTTACAGAACAAGGGAACAGGATGCTGGCCAAGAGGAGAGCTATGAGTGTTGCTGGTTAGGGAAACCTGGCCAGGTTAAAGTAACAATAGAAGAAGAGGTCACAAAGATCACTCAGGCTCCAATTCTAATTTTACTGTGGCACAAGTCTCCTGAGTAACTAAATTGAAGTGGAGGGACATAGATGAAACATTCGTTTTCCTGTCTATCCAGACATACAGATGTAATATTTTAGTAAATGTCTGTAGATTCAGCAGATGGACAAGCACTGGGGAACAGCTGGGGGTGCCAACAACACAGTGGACAGTAACAGCAATGACAGAGTATATGGGCTCCAGTGGGGGGGGTATGCTAAGGTGCATTTGGGAAGTGGGTATACAGATGGATAAGATTGTTTGGGATGTTCTGTATGATATACACACACAAAAAATCAACAAATAAAAAAAATGAGTTATATTTGAGGAGAAAGCATAAAAAAGTGTCAATAAAATTCTTAGCATTAAAAAAATCAGTTGTTTGATAGTGAGTTCATCTATACCATTTTTAATAAATTCAACTCAAAACCTTAAAATAATTAATCTTTTTTTTGTTGTCATTTCGTGTTTTCTTGTTGTTGTTTTGTGTGTGTGTATTTTGAGACAGGATATCCCTGTAGCCCCAGCTAGCCTGGAACTCACTATATAGGCCAGACTGGCCTTGATCTTATGGAGATCTGCCTGCCTCTGCCTCCTGAATCCTGGGGGCTAAAGGTATGCACTACCATGCCTGGCATCAGTCATTAAATATTTTAATGAAATATTTATCATTGCTTTAGCAACAATCATTAAATGGGTAGTTATCATTTTTAGATTAGGCATTTTATGAGAAAGCAATGGTAAACAGTTGTGCCCAATTTTAGACACCAATCTTAGGTTGACGGAATACAAGCCTATAAAGAAAACTGAAGTAATATACATGTAGTCGACAAATAAAGAGCATGCAAACCTATTTGCATATAGGTAGGGAGCAAGTGCATGCTGTGAGGCAATTCCCCAAGGAGAGATTGAGACTGTTTAAAGACGATGCATGTGGGATTAATTGATCTTCTAATTTTCACTATATGAAGCCAGATTTCAGAAAAGAGATTTTTAGATCTCAAGGCTATGAAAATGTTTGGCTAATTAAATGGAGGTGGTATTCAGGAAATAGTTTACAGCTTGGGCCAACACACAAAAATGGTTTGTGGTTACAGAGAAGCAACAGGCAAGTTTTATTGTGGAAAAGAAGATACTAGATCAGACACAAAGGAAGCACAGGGAGTGCCTAACTCTGCACAGTCTGGGGATCCTACACAAGGTGAAGTGTTAGTGTTCAGAGAAGTTGACCCAACAGGACTGAGGATGAAGGAAGAAGCCACTGCACCCTCAGGGAAGGGGCTGAGGTTTTTTTCAAGGGTGAGGAAGAATGTTAGTGAGGATGATTGTGCTTTAAGATATGGCGCATGCTTGATACACGGAAAATAAGAGTGAGGCTGGGGAGATGCACAGTGGGAAAAGTTTGCTGCACAAGCATGCAGAACTGAGCACGAATCCCCAGAAGTCACATAAAGAGACACAATAGTGAATCTGTAATCCCATTGCTCTTAGGGCAGTGCGGGTGGTGGAGACAGGAAGCTCACAGGCCAGGTAGCCTGGCATAGGTGAAGGCCAGCAAGAGACCCCGATCAAACAAGGTGAATGGCAAGGAATAAGGTCTGAGACTGTGACATCAACCCATGTGCCATGGCACAAGCATGCTCACACTACAGAGACACATACATGCACACGTGCACACATCCACACAAAGTAAGAGTTAACATTTGGGATGCATTAGAGAAAAAAAAGGATTTATCTGCAAATCAAAGGTAAATCAAGCATGAAAAGAGTGGAAGTTTGTGCATTTTCCTTCAAAAACTTATAAAAAATATAAATTCACAGACATATTAATGATTCCTAAATGAAGTATATATTAAAGTAGAATGTAGAATTAAAAAAGATACAAAGAGAAATCCCTGAAATCTACCTTACCATTTAGTCCTTAAAATACGCAGTCATCAAAAGCTCAAATTTTCTTTTAAAGATACAGATAGCACTACGGCTACTCTGAATTCAGGGGGTGTCTAGACGTGTAATTAAACTCTCTCTATGGTCCTAACAAAAACCGTGTCATTGTGTAATGAAAGCTACTACATGGCAATTTAGTTTAATTACAGCTCTGCTGTGTTCGATGGGCTGTGTGTAGTTAATTGATAATGTCTCAGGGGTTGGTAGGAGGAAGTTTGAATCTCTTCAAAAATCTAACAGGACTTAGAAGAACCAGTCATTAAAGAACGAAAACAATGTTCTGGCTACAGTTTGCCTATTGGGAAGGAAAATTAAACAGCATGACTTTGTTCTTTTCTTCAGAAAATTTAGAATTAATATGCATAAATTTAAGTGAGAACTTCAGAGTGAGTACTCCATTTTTGTGTCCCGTCTGCTTTGGAGACCTGTCTCTTTTGTTTTTATCCCTGGCTTCTCTCTAGGGCTTCAAAACTGTCCACAAAGTAGAAGACAAGCATCTTCCACGACCAGACCAACAGGACTAGTTAGAATCCTCTGACCTAGATCTGTGCTATGCCTTGGTCCCTCCTGCATCTGAGTGTGGGCTCACTATTTTCTTAATCATTTCAGAGTCATCTTTCTCACAGCTGTCCCCTCGCTAGCCTTAGCAATTTCACACATGTATCTACGTCCATTTCACTCATTCACTCTTTTCATTTGCCTTGCGACTGCTCAGTAATCACCGTGTGTTCTTCACTGGTTCTTTATTTGCTTGGTTAGCTTCTCCCACACAGCATATACCTTTATTTCTAAATCATAGAGTAATCCAAGCAAGACCTGAGTTGAAAGTAAAAACAAATCTCTTCAAGTTGAAATCTCACACCTACATACTGAGGTCTAATTTCCCCAGCGTAAAAATTAAAAACCCTTTAAATGCACCCCTAATTTGTGTCTACCTTTCATTCTGGGACAATTGTTAATCCATTAATATGCATGAGCCACACATTATTATTCCTAAATCACGTTATACATATTCACACTTGGTTCCTAGAGAATCTAAAGATTCTAGAAACTGGGCTGGGGAGATGGCTCAGTGGGTAAAGTGCTTGCTGTGTTAAGTATGAGGACCTTAGTTTATATCCTCAGAATCCATGGAAAGCTGCATATGGTAGCATGCACCTGTAATCCATGTGTTCCTGTGGCAAGATGGTAGGTGGAGGCAGGAGACTCCCTGGAACTCTTGGAAGCTTGAAGGCCAGCTAGTCTGACATATGCAGTGGTGAATCCACAGGAGACTTTGCCTCAAACAAGGTGGAAAGTAAGGACTGATACTCAAGGTTGTCCTCTGATTTCTGCATCTGTTCTGTGGCACATGTATACCTGCACTCACACACATG